GGGGGGGGGGGGGGGGTGTAGACAGGCTAATCAGATCACCCTGTGTGGAAATCAATGCCAAATTCCCCCTGACCTATGTGCTTTTAAATCTGAATGTTGAGTTTGCAAATAAAATTATGTCACTTAAAGTCTAAACTTTCTTCTACCATTGTTGCTAATGTCTTGCAACATTCCTCTAATACCTTTAAATACCTATAATTTTAAAAACATCTCTTACGTTCTTCTCTTGTTCCTGTTCCCATCAAAAAGGCAATTCATTTACTGATATGCAATGGGATATTCATCTTAAATGGAAGGATTATTAAAATTATTGATTCCTTTTAAAGTTATTTTTGTTTTCAGAGGTTACTGTGACCCTGTTAAATGTACATGTATTATAGCCTATTTAAAGCAAAATTGAAAACAGGGTAGAAGCTTGTGACATTTATTGCCCAGTATTATTATTTACAGTGCTGTTGTTTCTCCCAGCACTGGCCCCAATCCATGGAACACACTGCTGTTCTCTGTGCAAGCATGCTGATTGGTGTACTGTACTAATGTATTCGACTGCTGTACAGACCCACAAAGAGCAGCAATGAATAAAAAAATTAGGCAAAGCTCTGATCTTCCATCATCCAATCATGTGCAAGTAAGAGTACCCCCCCCCACCCCCCCCCCCTTGCACGTGATTGGGTATCATTTGCAAAGTAAATTTCACCACATTCACTAACCTAAGGGAAAATTCCTTTGCAATGTCAACAGCCTATTTGCCTTTTAGTAAATCAACCCCAAATTAATTATTATTATACAGGATTTATATAGCGCCAACAATTTGCTCAGCGCTTTACAATATAGGGAAGACATTACAATCACAATACAAATCAAGACAAGATGGTAAGGAGGGCCCTGCCCCTTACAATCTAAAAGATTAATGAAATGTGTATAATGTGTGTATATGTCCTTTCTTCTATAAATAATATATTGTATATTATTTGTATATTGTATATAGCATATAAGTTCCAGAAAATGTACAGAAAGATAGCTGCCACTTTGAATGTTATGGTGATCACAAGGTGGGAAATGAATATTCAAAGTATACTGCCTAAATCATGTCTCCATTTTTCCTACAGATATGGATTTGAAGGTGTAATCCTGGCGATTTACGGAATGGACCGCGCTGACCTTCAATGCACTGAACCTCCTTGCACATTCCAGCATCCCCAACAAGTTCTGCAGCAACTAGATGTTGAGGATGCAAAGCTATATGTGGACTTTCTAGTGCTGGGAGGGTTCTTTATTGGACTTCGCCTCCTCGCTTACCTTGTGTTGCGTTACCGTGTAAAGTCTGAGCGGTAGAAGGCAGTATTCATTAATTTTCTTTCCAGTCAAGAATTCTGTTCTGTGTGTGACATACAAGACACAGGCTTGTCACAAAAAGTCATTTTAGGAGATCTCATTCATATGTTTCAGTCACATCTCACCTTTTGGGTTTTCTGAACATCCGTCATGATAAGTCGAACTACATGATGGGAAAATGCACAGTTTCCTCAGAGAGTGGCACAAACGTCTCCTGTTTATATTTTTGTTAAATGAAGCATGTTTACTGAATTTCCTTCAACATGAAAATCAGCTTAGGGACCAAGATAGAAAATGACTGCAGGACATGGATGGAGTACTACCCTATCACCCTGCAATGGAGGACTTTCATGCAAGGAGTCGTGCCTTGTTATCTAATGGAGGACTATCATGCAAGTAGTAATACCATATAACCTAATGAAGGACTTTCATGCAAGGAGTAGTACCTTATCACCTAATGGAGGATTTTCATGCAAGGAGTAGTACCTTATCACCTAATGAAGGACTTTCATGCAAGGTGTAGTACCTTATCACCTAATGAAGGACTTTCATGCAAGTAGTAATACCATATCACCTAATGAAGGACTTTCGTACAAGGAGTAGTACCTTATCACCTAATGGAGAACTTTCATGCAAGTAGTACCTTATCACCTAATGAAGGACTTTCATGCAAGGTGTAGTACCTTATAACCTAACGAAGGACCTTCATGAAAGGTGTAGTACCTTATCACCTAATGAAGGACCTTCATGAAAGGTGTAGTACCTTATCACCTAACAGAGGACTTTGATACAAGGAGTAGTACCTTATCACCTAATGAAGGACTTTCATGCAAGGAGTAGTACCTTATCACCGAATGAAGGACTTTCATGCAAGGTGTAGTACCTTATAACCTAATGAAGGACCTTCATGAAAGGTGTAGTACCTTATCACCTAACAGAGGAATTTCATGCAAGGAGTAGTACCTTATCACCCAATGAAGGACTTTCATGCAAGGAGTAGTACCTTATTAAATAATGGAGGACTTTCATGCAAGTTGTAGTACCTTATCAGCTAATGGAGGACTTTCATGCAAGGAGTAGTACCTAGTCAACTGATGGAGGATTTATGATTACTTATCCTTCTAATTGTCTCAAGATTATAGAACCAAATCTTTGTAGTTATATTCCACTGCATGTAGCATTATCTGTCTAGAATTTTACTTTATAGGGTGTCATTATTGAATTTTATCTGATGATAAGATGACCTATACTCTATTGCTAACTTAAAACAAACTTGTGTTTTGTCCATATAAAGCAAAGCAATAGCTTTGCTCTTATGCCCAGTCCTTCAGCAGAAAATACTTTATTATGTCACCGCTCTATTCAATTGCAGGGAATTAAGAAAGTATCTGGTATTTCCAGGCGTGAAAGCACACGTCACTCACTCTATATGACAGTGTAGGTCCCCTTATCTACGGCCCTGACTGTAGGTGCTTGGTGATTGGCCCAGTGTTGTCTCATGGGGTTGGGAGAGGCCTGAGCTTTGTGTAAACTGAAGCAATTTGGAACTTAAACAGGGTTTTCCTTGTTTTGTCCAAATGGCTTCACAGAACAGCCATGGACTAAAGGTTAGATAAGTACATGCAGCTGGGGAGGAGGGTAGTAAAGTTACCTGTGCTTTGCCCATGTTGCTAAAGCAATGTAAACTGTTTTGGATAAATAAATACCAGCAGAACGACTGAAATAGCATTGCTAGAGAAAATGCTACTCCAGGATCCATCCAGTATTGGTTAGATAACCAAAATCCTCTGATAACCTGATCTATTAGTAAGGGATGATCAGCCAGTCTGAGCCCTGATCCTCTCCTTGAAAAGAGATCGCATGACCAAATGACTAGGCTTCTGGTTATGTGAGCTTCAATACAGGAAGCATGGAGTTGCAGGCACAGTGTTAAGCCGAAAGAGGATAAAAAACTTTTGCCAAAACCTTTCCAGTATTTTTGTTTTTGCTGTTTCCTAATCTCTACTCTCAATGCTTTTATTTTTGTAAACGTTGTTCCTTTCAATAATATTACATATAAAACAATTTTCTTAAAGGTCAGCTATATAGATTGCAAGATTAGCAAATGGTTTTGCAGTCCCTTACTTGCCTATGTTCTATAGATATTAAGATAGGCAATACCAGTGCTAAAACGTGAGAAGTAAGAGGCACAGCTTCCAACTGTGCCTCATCTGGAGAGACTGACTCTTTGTTAGGACTAAATCCTTCTGTCCCTTTTCCCTCCTTAGTTTTACCTCTTTTTGGTTTGATCTATCAACATCTATAAACAATGCAATTTCTAACTACCAAAAGTGTTCTACTGCACCAAATCTTTTATGCAACCTCTATAATATTGCATTTATTACTCTTAAAAGGCAGTATAATGGAAAATTTGTGGTGAAAAATGTGTACTTGTGGGTTTAATCAATCATTTTTGCTTCAATAATTCATAATCCACCTTCATGGTCCATCTAAAGGGGGTGTGTCCTCTGCCTACATACTTTCTGCTTGAAAGGTGTCCCTCTTTCTCATCTCAGAAAGTTGGGAGGTAAGGTAAGAGGACTTGTCTACCAACTATAATCAACAAGTCAGGGTCAGTGGTTTTAAAGAAACACTTTGATCCCTGGTATCTCACTAAGCTTGCAGCATGTGAGAAAAAGCTAATTCTTTGGGCTTATGTCTGGAAAAAGCACTGAGCCAATTCTATTACATACTTCTGTTGCTGTGGCTTTAAAGAAGATACATTTTAAATGTTTAACTCTAGCAATAGTGTAAAGAGTAGAGAAGAAACAGCATGTTTCAGATTACTTTTGCTTGATGTAGTCACATAAGTATTTAGCTTGAAGATCAAGTTCAACCATACTCAAGAGGTTTTGGCCCAGATGAGGTCACAATGAGCTGTGATAATATGGCTTTGCCTCGGAAGGTAAAAATAAATTCCTTCCTGACCCCACAAGGCAATTCCCTGAATCAATATAGTACCATACTTTGCTATGCAATCATAGTTTTGATTACCATTATCATGCATGGAAATCATACAAATTCTGGTAATGATTTTGACACCCTTGCTAGAACATTACATAACTCTGACCATAAAGAACCTCTAGAAAAAAACCTTTCTTCTTGTTCCCTTGCCTATGTACAGTCTTTGAGGTAAAATTACATACCTTTGTAATGCCTTTTGACTGTACTCATCAATTTGACTGAACTCACCATTAAGTTGTCTTTTCTTTCTAACCTAAATTTACCAAGCTGTTCTAACTATTTATTATAAGGCCCCATTCACCTTATTGCTTTCATTGCTTCCCTGTCCAGAGATTAATCAAACCCCAATCAACTGGAACACCGAACAAAGAACATTGATGTTAGGTGCGTTTCTGCATCAAACACACTGTGAACATGTGTGAACTTTAGTGAAGCCCCAGTGTTTTTACCAATATAAATGGCAGCCTCCGTATCTTTTTCAGATCTATCATGTTTACAACATGGTGCCTAAAACTGTACTCCATATTCAAGGTGTGGCCTTATAAGTCATTTATACAGGGATAATGAAATACTTGTGTTATGTATATTTAATCTTTTTTTATGCAATCCAAGATTGTATTTGCTTTTGTAGCTACAGCTTGGTATTGAGTGCTGCTGCTTAGGTCTCTGTTAATGAGAATGTCCTATTCCCGCTCCACTTTCAGCAATTGTATTTCATGTAGTATAAAAAGGTATAGCTGTTAGCATGGCCTAGGAGCATAACCTTACGTTTATCAACATTAAATTTCCCATGTTGCCATTTTTTAAAGGTTCATCTGTAAACAAACTGAGTTTTAATAATTACCGGTATATTCATTTCGTATCATCAGTGAAACTTGCCACAGTACTGTCTATCATGTTTTACTAGGTCAGCAATAAAAAGATTCAGCCTAATACCATCCCTGTGGAACACCCCTTAAAAACCTTGACCCTTCTGGAATATGGTGCTTTTACAACCTCATTATTTATATATGTCATTTAACCTGTTCTTTACATATTTACACACATTCTCCACTGAATCATAGAAATCTGTATTAGAATATTATGAGGAACAGTATCAAGTGCTTTGCAAAATCCAAATACATCACCTTAAGAGTAATTGCAACATTCACATTTACATTTATTTGATTTGATTGTATTTATTTTAGCTATACATGACCTCATGCTGATTCTGTCATTGTTTTATTTATGGTCTTTTTAGAAGGTTCTCTGCTGCTGCTTGGATACACTGCTTCTCTCAAGCCCAAATTCATCCTAAGTAGGTTGCTTTAACTTTGGACATTCTAGTCCAGGTCCCCTCTTCCCCCAACAGTGACTAGGGGTAACAGGTAATTCATGGTTGCTTTGCCATGTTCAAGCTTTCATAGCATGGTTTTATCCCAATATGAAAAGCCCTGCGGTGCATCTGGGCATAGCAGTGATGACATGGCTACGGCTCTTCTTTGTGAGCCCCTTCCTTGGCAATCAACCTCACTTTTTCTTGGAGGACCTCAAAGGAAACTTGTGCTGGGAGAAGAACAGAGGCTGCCAGTGCTGCTTTTTGAAAATGTAAACTACTTGGCTGTAATGCTGATCTAGTAGCTTCAATAGTTTCAATAGCCACTGACTCACAGCAACTGTGTAGGTTAGGTATTTTGACTTCACTGGTTGCATACATGTTTTGGGTCATTAAAGTTGGCTTCAGTATTGTACAGTCTTGCACAGTTGTTCAGGCTCCTCTCCTGTGCTGAAGTTGCTTATTCTGATGTCACTGCACACTGTGAGCTTCTCACACTGTACATTAGGAGCTGCACCAAGTCAGATAGAGCCGCCTCATTTTCTGACTGGAAGATGTCCAGTCAGCTAGCCCTGTCCTCCCCAGCCTTACATTCAATGTCCCATCGCTGTCATTCATTGGATTTCAATTCTATCAATCATGGAGGCTTGGCATAACATGTGGGCATTACCTAGGGAAGTCTGCAAGCAAATGCAGCCTTCTTAGGAATGCCCACAACTCCATACTGACATCAACCCATCAGGTCATTTTGATATTTGCATAACTCCTCCCAGGAGCCAGCACACTGCTTGCATCAGGGCTGAGGGCTCTTGAGATGAGTTCTGAAGCATGGATCTGTGTAAGCTATGTACAGCACCCTGCCAGCCCCTCCCACCATGGCCTTCCTGCAATGAATAGAGAAGCACAGAGACCCATTGATGACATCTCTGGGTCTAAAATAAGGTATGTAATGAAAATGGAACGGTTTAAAAGGTTCATTATTAAAAAATTGTATGTATTTAAAAATGTAATTAGAAAGGAAATGAGAAACCAGGGAAGTCAAAATATAAGTAGAATAGATTTAGAAAGTTTTGAAGGCAGAGACAGCCAAGCAAATAACATTTTCAGGAGGTCAGCAATTACAGCCTAAATAGTTCCCTCAGTAGAGGTTTCTTTTATGATCTCAGGTTTTGCTTTTTGTTCTGTAATGTAATTCTTATTTCTTTTAGATAGTGTATATTTTCAGATTTGTTTTTTGAAAATGCCTTTTAATCAAGCCTATGAAATGCTACTTATTCTATAGCTTTGCATTATAAACTGCTGCTAGTACATGCACTGACATCCTTGTGTTGCTTTAGAATGTGTCTGCTCCACTAAGCAATACTGCCCTAATAGTAAACCACAGGCATATCATGTATAAAGATTTTGGTGATGAAAAAACATCATGTAGTAAGCATAAAACAAATGTTTTACTTATATATCCATTTCACCCAGATCTTTAATTGCACTTTATGTTTTTTGGCAGGCATGTTTACTGTATGTTTCCAAAATCCTATTGTAAGGATATCAGTGAAAATGTAGATGAATGTGTTATAATTCTAAAAGATAATAGATTTTTATTAGAAAATATTCATGTAATTGAGTCTTGAAGTAGTTAATATTTTGAGATGATATGAGTTGCCAGTTCTATTAAACGGTATGCAAATTGACAATTGGTGTCACCTGTAGACTGAGCAATGAAATGATATTGTAAAAATGCCATTTGTTGCAGGTAGCCTTCAATCTCTGGCTTCTGTTGTCAGTGTTATGCACTGAAGCATATCTTGAATATTCCAAACTGAAGATGCGTTATGGCCGAAATAATCTTTTGAAAGGGACATATGCCATGTTGTTGCTTGAGAAGGTTATAAAATATCTTTTCATGTATTAAACTAAAACAGTATACTTATGTGTTTGTGTTTATATATCTTCTATATTCACTGTGGTACTCAACATTTTACAGTTTTTTTTAGACAGTGCTAAAAGTCATAGAGAATATTTTATATACACTATATGGCCAAATGTTTGTGGTCACTTGACCATCATTTCTATATGAGGTTGTTGGATATATCATTCCAAAACTATTGACCATTAGTATAGAGCTGACCCCCCACCACCACCCTTCTTTGCAGCTACAGCAGCCTATACTCTTCTGCATAGGCCTTTTACTTGACTTTGAAGTGTGTCTGTGGGAATTTGCCCCATTCAAGGTAAGGTCGCGCCACCTCATGCTAGATTAGAAGACCTGGATCACAATCAGCATGCTAAAGCTGATCAATAGGGATGAGGTCATGGATCTAAGGGTCCCCACACACCTTCCGATTATCGTACGAGAATCGCGGGAAATCCCGCGATCGTACGATGATCATAAGGTGTGTGGAAGCCGTGCGACCTCTACTACTGTAAGGTCGCACGACTTTAAACTTACGGACATGTTCGAAAACCCGCCGAGCATCGTACGATGTTCGGCGGGTTTGTGGCATGTCCGTACGATAACAGCCGCACGGGCCGGTGTGCGCAAGCGTACACTGCGCGTTCGGCATTGCGGTCATCGGAAGCCCGCCCCACAGGGGGCGTGGCTTGCGATCATCGCAAGTACGATCTGCCTATGCAACATAGGCAGATCGTACGTTTTTTTAAGTACCTTACAACCATCGCAAGACAGAAGTCTTGCGATGGTTGTAAGGTGTGTGCCCAGCCTTAGCAGGCCTCTGGAAGTCCTCTACACCAAATTAATCAAACCATGTCTTTATGGAGCTGACTTTATGCACAGGGGCACAGTCATACTGAAATAGAAAAGGGCTTTCCCCAAGTTGTTACCACCAAGGTTGGAAGCACACATTGTCTTAAATGTCTTTGTATGCTGTAACTGTTTTCAAACTTTTGGCTATATAGTGTACTATGTAGAATTCATTCATGTTTCCCTTCACATTCTAGAGTGCTGTACTATGTTAGATATTAATAAAAACACGGGAAAGGAGAACAGTTAGAGGCTTAATAGATGTGGCTTAGTTTAATCAAAATGCATGCAATAATGCACATTTCATTGATGTCACTATGCAATGCATTAATGTCTCCATGCACTGACATTACTAAGCAATGCATTAATGTCTCCATGCACTGACATCCATATGCAATGCATTAATGTCTTCATCCACTGACATCAATATGCAATGCATTAATGTCTCCATGCACTGACATCAATATGCAATGCATTAATGTCTCCGTGCACTGACATCAATATGCAATGCATTAATGTCTCCCTGCACTGACATCAATATGCAATGCATTAATGTCTCCATCCACTGACATTGATATGCAATGCATTAATGTCTCAATGCACTGACATCAATATAAAAATGCATTAATGTCTCCATCCACTGACATCAATATGCAATGCATTATTGTCTCCATGCACCGACATTACTAAGCAATGCATTAATGTCTCCATGCACTGACATCAGGTTTTAGATCAATCCAACAGTATATTCTCTCATGCTGACATTTCCCCTGCTGGAGGGAACAGTGATGCATTCTTTAAAAGCAGCTACTGTACCTTTGAAACCTGCTCTAGAGACTAAGGATGCCAGGCAGCTGAGGATACCACTTGCTTCTCTTCAAGGGATGGCCTATTTGTCCTTACGGGACAACTTAAAGGAGAACTATGAGGTGAGTGCTTTTCACTCACCTCATAGTTCTAGTCCACCTGTGACAATGAGACTGTCACAGGTCGGCTCAGTAGATCGGGAAGTGAGCAAACACATAATGGTGTTCGCTCACTTCTCGATCCTGTCACGGCAGAGAGCCGTGACAGGGGAGGGGCTGGATTCCCCCCTCCCCGCTCCGATCCTCCAGCACTGACTGGCGGAACGGATGGGGGAGGGGGCGGGCACAGCTGGCTCTGCCTCTAGATAGGCGGAGCCAGCTGTCACTCACGCAGCTGCGTGGATCCAGACATATTTGTCGGGATCCGTTTCAGCTGCGGCGTCTCAGTATACCGCAAGCTGTAGCTCGCGGTATACTAAGCTTTGGGTGACGGGAGGACGCTAGTTTGTGTCCTCCCGTTACCCTTAGGAGAACTATGGGGAAAGGTCCTAACCCCATAGTTCTCCTTTAACGTAATTCAACAAATTCTAAACACAACGTAGGTGGTGTGAATCCAGCCTGAGGAGAACCCTTTTTATCGGGGCCTGGATAGCAGTGAAAACCTGACATGGGTTCTAATTCTAATATCCAAAATTTTTATAACAAACATTTTAATGCATCCGAATTTTGTCTGATATAGATTCGGAATGAACTGATATGTTATTACATATGAAAAAAAACAAAACAAGCGAGTGTGGTCCCCCCCCCCCAAAAAAAAATTCATACGGTGTGTGATGGACTTGCTCCGCCCCTTTGTTTACATTCAGGGGTTGAGCTGTCATTAGCGACGAGTGTGAACAAGGTGGCGGACTCTGCCCCATGTTGAGGGCAAGTAGCTTGGTATGGTGCAGCCAGCCACATGATTGTCCCCCTAATTTCCTGCTCTCCCAGGCCACTGCTCCTGCGTCTGGTAATGGATTTTTGCATGGGGTCCCCCTAAAATTCCTACCAGACCTAAAGGGTCTGGTAGGAATTTGGGGGGACCCCACGCTGTTTGGTTGTTTTAAATTTATTTTCCATGTTTAAGAACATACTAACCTCCATCCAAATAGATCTGAATTTCCGGAAATTAACTTTGGATCGATCCAAATTCAGAATATCAAACGGATCCGAATTTCAGAAACTGAAAACAAAAATTTGAATCAAAATGAAATTAAAAGAAAACAAAATGTTCAGTCATGGACATGTCTACTGGACATACACCAGGGGTAGGCAAATTCTGGCCCTCCAGCTGTGGTGAAACTAGAAATCCCGTCATGCATGTGTCCGTGGGAGTCATGTCTGTGGCTGTAAGAATCTTGCAATGCCTCATGGGTATTGTAGTCCCACCACAGCTGGAGGGCCCAAGTTTGCCCACCCCTGCCATACACCGTGCAAAATTTTGCTCGCTGTTGATGAACCTGCCTGAACTTCGAACACTTGGTGCTCCTATCAGCTCCGGCATCAATTGATCACAATAAAAAAGGAGCTGGATGGAAAATGTCTGAGCTAACAGTGACCAGCGAGTACACCAGCAGGAGATTCCTCCGTCCACACTGTTTAGTGTAGATAGAGGAATCTGTTATATTTGTTTTTGTTCAGCCCAGAGATGAATGAAAAAAATATAAAGTGTATGTATAAAAAAAAGGAAACAAAGTACATCTAAAAGTAAACAAAAGTAAAACAAGTAAAGCTAAATGTAAACAAAAGTATGTATCAAAATAAACAAATTTAAAAAAAGAATCCGGACCTCATACAAGTGTGTTCAAAAAGAAAAAAAAATATAAAGTGTATGCCCAGTTAAAGGTCAAAAGTAAACAACCAAAAGGCCCAAAGTAAACAAATAAAAAGACAAACTCCTGAACCTCATACAGGCATGTTGAAAAAAATTAATAATGGAGGGGAATTTAGCAAAACTGGTGCAGGCAGAATCTGGAGCTCATAGCAACCAATCAGCTTCCTTATATCATTCACACTGGAAATAGAAGTTTAGAAGTTGATTGGTTACTATAGGCAATTGCTCCAGATTCTGTCTGCACCAGTTTTGATAAACTCCCCCCAATATGTGTCCTAATAACTAAACACAGTGCATGATTTTGTCCTCTCATAAAAGTCTACTGAGACCTGACTACTTGTTACTGCACTTTAGCTGTCACAATCATCCTCTGCAATGCCCATAAACTATATCCGTCCTCCGCCTCTTGTCTATTCTTGTCTCCATGCCCGGCTCCTCCTATACTTATTATATGCTCCGCCGCGTCATTTCTGCTCGCCATGCTGGCAGAGAACCACAAGATTCTGCAGGGAGGAAGTCGCTACATAGAGAAGAGTGGTGCGGGCGGGCGCTGAGCAGAGTGTGTTGAAGACGGGCCGCAGGCTTGGGGTCGAAGTGACAAGATAACGATCGGTAACCGTCTTGTGTTGAGTACACTGAGTTCTTGTGAAGAGAGTCCATTCATAAACTAGAATGCAGATTGGGAATGCATACACTGCTGTGTGTCTGGCAAACGTTTGCTTGTGCAGTGATAGTAATACATATTTTTTCACATTTTCTCTATAATGTGTCTGATGGTGAAAACTAAACTCCTGCACTTATATTGTGCAAACTGGCGGAGATGATGCAGCAGGGATTTGTCCCTGGACATAAAACATAAGTCACTTGTATCATCAAGCTGTCAGTCCCTTTACTGTAATAATGGATTGTACAAATCCCCAATCTTTATTATAATGACCTCTGTCCTCCCCGGGTTTAGTGATCTCTACAAGTGTCAGGTTTTGGCTCTTTATTTTGTAAATAAAAGAGCAGATCAGACATTATGTTTGGCCGGTATAACCAGAATGTGTTGTTTCTAGGTTTGGAGAGAATTGGGAAGTCTTTAGAACCTTGTCAGTTTATCTCTTCCCATCTGTGTCCCCTTCTGGAGATTTACCTTTACTTCCTGTTCCAAAGAAGCATCAGGAAGTGAGAAGAATCCTTTAGCAAGTGGAGGAAATTCTCCTCTTAGTTGTTATTGCAACAGGTGTCCCTATTGGAGGATTTACTCTCACTTCCTCTTCTGGTGACAACTCTAAAAGTCTGGATTTTCCATCATTTTCCATATATCTCCCCAGCGATGACACAGACCGCAATAAAAACTTGATAGAGGGTCTAACTCATCACTACTCTATCTACAAACTTAAAAAAACTTTGCCTTTAGATACACTCTATATTTTGCAAGCTGGTGGAGTTGAGGCTGCATCAATTCTGTCTCTAGATGAAAAACCTTAAAGGAGAACTATGGGGTAAGTGGTTTTCCCCATAGTTCTCCTCAGGGTCACGGGAGGACACAAACTAGCGTCCTCCCGTGACCCAAAGCTCAGTATACCGCGAGCTACAGCTCCCGGTATACTGAGACCACCGCATCCGGGACGGATCCCAACATTACTGTCTGGATCCACCCAGCTGCGTGATTGACGCGCTGGAGGATTGGGGAGGTGGGGAGCAGTGAGTGACAGTCATGGCTCTCTGCAGAGAGATGATCGAGAAGTGAGCGAGCGACCTGTGACATTTTCATTGTCACACGTCGGCTCGAACTATGAGGATGAGTGAAAATCAACCATTAGCCACTGGCCCTTTAAGAGCATCCGACCGGAGGCATTAGGGGAGTATATTTATTTTATTTTAGCACCTAGACCATAGCAGGCAGCTAACCCTTGCAGTGCCGGAGTAGCCCCACTGCAAGGGTTGCCTTTTTACGAAGCTGGAGTTCCTCTCCTGTGTAAGCTCCAACAGATCTTACAGAGGAAACAATCTCAGTGTTTCAGAAGGCAAACAGAGCAGCGGAGGTGCATGTGGATGTTACGTATCAGGTGGTGGTTATGGGGGGTAAAGGGGGGGGAAGCAGAGGGAACCTCTAACTTTGCCCTAAATGTGCAAAGTGATGGGTTCCTTTTGAAGCAAACCCGTGATTCTTTTTGAACTATATCTAAAGCCCATTTTTTTAAATGATGAATGGTTAAAACTCTGTCAGGTTTTCTTGCTGGCGGTCTTCCAATGTGGAGATTTCCCTTTACTTCCTGTCCCAGAAACACATCAAGAAAAAGTTAGAGGATGTTACCAGAAGATATTTTCCTTCAATGACAACTATAAATTCCAATGACTTTCTGTTCCAGTTCCAGTTGTCACCAGGACAAATAGTGAGGGTGAGTCTCCCCAGTGTGGGCCCAGACAATAAAAACCTGATGGGGGTTGTAATCCTCCCCACTATATCCAAAACTAAAAAAAGGTTGCCGTATGCTCCACATGAAGCAATTTCAGCGATCATGCCGTGTCCTGTGTAGTGCAGAGTGATTCAAGGTGTTACACCCATCAATTTGTTTTTCCTTCCACTGCCCTCCGAAAACTAGGAAATCCAAATTGATATCTGAGGCCGACGAGGAGCACAAATTCCCTCTGCTGGGGGTAGAAGGTTTTATGTTTGTCTGCTGTACTTGTGATTTTGCAACATTTTTTTCTGCTGAATTACATAATTTTAAATGAAGATTAGCCTTGCGTTCTGATTTCTTGTTCTTGTAAACACCCCGCCTTTAACTCTTCTGTTCCTGGAACGAAGTATGCTGACTCTGGGTGGAGATTAAATATTTAATATAGGACGCACACTCATTATCTACTGCAGTTATACCTATCATAGTGATCTGCTGAAGGCTGATGGATTTCCTGTTTTAAGGGGAAGTTGTCAATATTTAACCCCTTCATGACTGAGGCCTTTTTTTTCTTCATTTTTTGCACCCATGTTATATTCCACATTTTAGGCCTGAAAATTACTTAAAACCCCCAAACCTTATACATTTTCTGAAATGACCCTATAGAATAAAATGGCGGCAGTTGAAAATTTTTATGTTGCACGATATAAGCGCAACTCCTTATCAAACCCCAAAATGTAGTGCAAAATTTACTTAAATGCCCCAAAACACAATAAAATACCAATTTTTAAAAAATAAAATATAAAAGATGAGGTTACAGCGAGTAAATAGATACCCAACATGCCCAGGTTAAAAATTGTGTGCGTCCGTGAAACGGCGACAAACTTCAGTATCCGAAAAAGTCTATAGACGACGCTTTAAAAGCCCCCACAGGTCATCAGTTTAGGGATAGCCAAAAATACTGGCCCTAGAATTATTGCTCTCACTCCGGCGTGTGCGGCGCTACCCAACATGTGTAGTGCGTTCGTCCTTTTCATACGTAGGTGCACCCGACGTGTGTTTTACGTGGTGATGGGCGGGGGACTTTAAAAAAAATGTAAACTTATTTTTAGATTTATTTTAATTTTTTTTTTTTTAACTTTGATTGCTGTCACATAGGGGGATTACAAGCCCCCCATGTGATAGCAGATGGTGGTGACAGGTACTCTTTAAGGTGATGCTGGGGGACCAAAAGACCCCCAGTGTCACCTTTACACTGGAAATAAGCTATTGAAGTGCAGATCACACTTTAATAGCTTGTAGCTGGGCTTCAGGAGCCGAGCAATGCCAGCTATGTGACCGGAAGTGATGCAATCTGCATCACTCCCGCTCTTATAGAACGGGGAGGGGATAGACGAACGGAGGTCCATCTCCTCCTGTAAACAAAGTACATCTAAAACTAAAACAAGTAAAGCTAAATGTAAACAAAAGTATGAATCAAAATAAACAAAAGACTCCGGAACCTCATATAATTGAGACCAGAGATATTTCCTGTCTACTGGCAAATCTTATGAATGTGGAGAACAAGAACAACCTGAAGCAATGAAAAAATATAGGAAATGTTACAAAAAAATTAAAAAAACAAAGTCCACGTGTGGTTATAAGATTTTTTTTTTTTTTGCGTTGTTTAGGGTTAGTGATGAGGCTGGGCTTGGTATGAACTCTGAGTGCACCCAAGCCTGCTCAAAACTGTGACCACCACTCCCTCCTATCAACCTAATCAGTGGTGGGGGGGGGGAAGCATTCCCTGCCCCTTTGTAACATAGAGCTGTGAGGCAGGGAATGCGCCTCTCCACAACTGACTGGGTCAGGAGGAAGGGGTGGTGGTCACAGTTTTGAGCAGGCTTGGGGGAATTCAGGTGAACTGAGTTCCCACTCATCACTATTCACACCTACCCAGTCCCATGTGGACAACACACACATGTAAACATGCATTGCAGTAAGGAAGCCCATTCTATGGCTGCAACAAACTAATCAATTAATTGATAATATAATCGATAATGAGAATAGTTGTCAACTATTCTCATTATTGATTAGTTGGATCCCCTAGTTCTCTCCTCCATGCTGGGAGGAGGGCACAGCAAGCAGGGGGGCGGGTGCAATTGCCAGACTGCTATTGGCTATTCTGAAATCTGAAATGGCTAATAGCAGGTTGGCTATTGCACCCGCCCACTACCTGTTGTATTTACATTTTGCTGCCTTCTGTGGAATCTTGCCACTAGCAGCTGTCACTCCCAGGCTGAAGCTATTCAAGAGCCATGTGCTTACAATACAATTATTAAAAATTAAAATTATGAAAGGTGGGAAAAAAGTCATTTTCGGTTTCAGGCTGACAAATTCTGTTGCGAGAGGTGCATTGCAGGGACATTTATTTAAATGGCACTCCACACGTGCCTCCCACCCAACGGACCAAAAATTACACATGCACCGTTTTTGGTAACGCAGGGCATCACAACAAACTGTAGTGCTTTACCATATGTTGCAATACACTGCCATGCAGCTACAATAATGCCACTGAAAATGAATGGCACTGCAACACACTAATGTATGTGTGGTGCATTACAGTAATGCTTAGCTGTGAATAATTAAACCTGGCAGAGTTTCTATTGAAAACATTTAGAGCCCATTTATACTTGTGCGTTACAGCAATGTGCGCTAAAATGTGTGCATAATGCAACTGTCTGAAGTGCAACTGTGTGTTGCATTGCAGTGCTATACATTGTGAATATCACCAACACATTGTACAGCAGAGCCCAAAGTACCAAGGTGCACCACATCACATACACCGTGCGTTGTGCTGCTGTGCATTATTAAAATGTGTGTGTATATGTATATATATAGGGGGTTACTGCCCTCTATACACTGAAACGCAGAGCTGCACTACAGCCAGGAAGGATCCCGATAATATTGTCAGGATCCACCCCGCTGCCTGATTGATAGCTGGCTCTGCCTCTCTAGATCCAGAGCCAGCTGTGCCCGCCCCTTCCTCTGTCTGTCCCTCCAGTGAACGCTGGAGAGAGCGAAGGGGGAATCCCTGACAGTCACGGCTCTCTGCAGGGAGAAGCTGTGAGCTAATCGATCAGAGGTTTGTGATCGCTCGGTTCTCGAACTATAGAGCCAGCGCGTGACACCTGCAACTATTGAGAAGAGTACATTTTATTCTCACAATTGTAACATAAAAACATCATCTAGAGCACATATATGTTTACTACGATGGCCGTCTTTTCAGTGGGAATAAATAGTGAGGTTTTTTGTACATCTCCCTTATTTATGTACTGTGTTGAGGGCCCAGTCATACCATATCCAGTGTGTTCCAGTGCAGTGCGATAGTGCATGCAGCATTTTTTCAGATCGCATAGCACTGGAACGAAGGGCATTCCTGTACCTCGCGTTCCGATGCGATCGATCGCACTGTGGGCGGGAGGCGTGTCTGCGGTGCCATTGACATGAATGGCATCAACACGGCACAAACTACACCGGGACGCACTGAATATGGTGTGACTGGGCCCTCAAAAGTAAAAATAAGTTTTTGATTTTTTTTTTTTTAGGCTTGTAAATATTTGACATTTACCTTTTTATGACCAGCAGGTGCTGAGTGTACGTCTACAGGGTTTCAGATAGCTGGTTCACTGCTGTTCAGACAAGACTAGCAGGATATCGACTTGCACAGCTGAATGAGTATGAGGAGGAGGCAATAAAGAAAGGCAGAGCTAGAGCTGCATATTTTATTAGCCAAAATGTACTGGACATTCTTGTATTTCAAGCACAACTCACGAGTTACGAACCCCGCAGCACCCATCCGCCCCCCCTAACCAGAGGCTCCCTACAGTGTATGTTTTGCTTTATTTTTATTTATTTTTTCAGATGTCTTCAGGCTGGTCATGTGACATGGTAGGTCTTCTTCCTTTCTTCCTCTTCAAACTCTTCTCCATCCCTCATAAGGACATCAGTGCAGCTCTCTGCTTCAATAAACTATGAATGAAGTGCATGGTGGTGACATATCCATAGAGGGTGGGGCCATGACACTCATTCATGTATTCCTTAAAGGAGAACTATGAGGTTAGTGATTTTCACTTAAACTGTCACACGTCGACTCAATAGATCGGGAAGTGAGCGAACACATACCGTTGCTCGCTCACTTCTCGATCATGTCCCTGCAGAGAGCTGTGACTGTCACTCACGGCTCCCTGCAGGGATTCCCCCCTCCCCACACCGATCCTCCAGCGCTGACTGGTGGAACGTACGGGGGAGGGGGCTGGTACAGCTGGCTCTGCCTCTAGATAGGCAGAGCCAGCTGTCAGTCACGCAGCTGGGTGGATCTCGACAGTAATGTCGGGATCCGTCCTGGCTGCGGCGGTCTCAGTATACCGGGAGCTGTAGCTCGCGGTATACTGAGCTATGGGGCACGGGAGGACGCTAGTTTGTGTCCTCCCGTGACCCTTAGGAGAACTATGGGGAAAACCACTTACCCCATAGTTCTCCTTTAATCTTCTGCGTTAAAGAATGCTGGAAGACTGAGGACATCTTGTGGTAAAATAGAAGTACTGTGGGGGAAAGCTCCTGATTTATGGGTATTGCAGCCTAAGCGGCTTAGGTGAGCGTACGGCCACGTCCTCCTATAGAGAAGAACAGGCTGCTGCATACAATCACACGCAGCACCTGTCCTTTTCGGGAACGGCCTGATACGGCCGAGCATGCCGCACGGATCTGTACAGCGCGTCTCTAAGCTGTGTGAATGAGGCCTTAAAAAAGATCTCCAGTTTTTAAAAAAAATTAACCCTTGCAGTGGGGCTACCTCCGTGCTGCTAAGATCGAGTGCTTATTTTGGTCTAGGGGTGAAAATGAAGTCATGCTCATCTGATTCTTAGTCCTGCAGCAGTGTCCACTCACCTCTCTCTCCCCCTTCACTTCATCTGTGATATTTCCTGTGGCATCCTTACGTCTAATGGGCCTGCATTAGATGTGATGACGTCACGGATCCTTAGACCACTGGAGCCTAGGGGTGAAGAGCCTGAGGGGACCAGTCTTGCAGCCAGGCGGGATCAAGGATCAGGTGAATATTTTTTTTTAAATTTGAGCCCCTAGACCAAAACAAGCCTTCAATCCTTGCGCACTGCAAGGGTTAAAGTTGAAAAATCCTGGAGTTCTTCTGTGAAAAGTCTATGAATGTAGTATACAATGTAAATAAAGAGAGATTATGCCCTTGAAGGGGACTGTGCATTATTTTGTAGTGCTCGACAAATTGTACTAATCATAATGATCTATACACATAAACTGTAACAGAATTCCTGAGTGCAGGACAAGCTGTAGCTTTTATGAAAATGTTTGTGTATTCTAAAGTATGATTTAAAATGTTATTTATTCCCAGGTGGTTGTTTTGCGAGTTCTTGTTCCCGAATGTGAAAAAATATGCAGTGTAGCCGCTCTGTGTCTTGGCTGGGGGTATTTGGAAAAAGGAGGGGACTTCTCACTGATAAGATACACCGATTCTCTGGAATAAACAAACACCAGCAGGTAGTATGTCTGTCTGTACTGAACAGAGACCCCAGAAGGTGAGAATTATCAATGTACCTGATCATTAAATCTGTGGCTGCTGTAACTGGTCTAACCCATTTCCTGCTGTCTTGTTTCTAGGAGTGCGCGCCATTCGTCTTCTCTCTCCAATCATCTAGTCTGCTATTCTGTGCCTTACAGGAGCCTAAATGGGGTGGAAACAGGTAGAAAACATTGCTAGTATGCAATAGATGGCTTGCCACAATCTAAATGCTGCTAATGCTGAAAAAAAAAGCTTTTTTTGGTGGTGAAATAAAGAAAAAAGCTTTTATAGATCATATTAATCCCTTTGGGGTTTCATGTGTTACATAACCAGCGAAAAATCTCTGGAAAATCCTTGTTACTATTTTAGGTGCACTGGATGAATAAAAGGGTCTGAGTTGTAGTAAGTTATTGTTCAGTAAAACAACATCAGTAATCTGTGCAAACTCCACCAGATCTACCACCAGCTATAAAGTGTAAAGAACAACCTGTATGGATATCATTTGAATAGAACATTTAGACAACCATTCAAACTCAGTATTTGCTGGTAGGAAATTTCACAGAGGCTGTACAATTATCTTGCGACTTTAGGTTTTTAAAGCAATGTTTTATATTACTTTTTATATAATACAGTGGTTCTCAACCTGTGTAACCTCAGGACCCCCATTTGTCTTTGGTCATTAAGTTGCGACCCAATCGCGTTCCGGGGCGGGTGACTAAACTGTGGGCGGAAGGTGCGTTAGGGGTGGCATTCAAATAAATGGCAATGCAACGCTCATCCCACACCAGAGCGCGCAATTTCACGGTACAGTGCGTTAAGCGCACAGGGCTGTTCGATTAACGTACTGTAATAGTGTGAACGGGCCCTCAAAAACACTAACAGATGCACACAGCCACAATCTCAAACACATATATATATATACTCCAAATAAACATTTAATTTTTTATTTTTTTTTAAGATCCACCCAGTCTCCATACCTTACAAGAACTGGAGAGGATCCCCAGCCTGAAGTCCAGTGTGGGCTGCTGTGCTGTGATGGAGCTCCATTCATGTTTGCATTGCTTGTTCCACCCCCTTGCGTTCCCTGTGGAGATGCCGGGTGCCAGAACGTGACGTCACTCTGGTCCAGGCACCTCTACAGGACATGCGAGGAAGCTGTAAGCAATGCATGTATGGATGGAGCTCCCTCGCGGCCATAGCTCCAGCCCACCCCACCTTAAGCTGACACTCGGCACAGAGCAGCATATGAATGGCTGCTTTGCAGGAGAACTAACAGTGCTGCGCTAGGGGGAGGTTGAGAAGCCTCTCGCCTAGAAAAGCGCAAGGCACACTGCGACCCACTGAACACGGGGTCGCGACCCACCAGTTGAGAAACAAGGATATAATATATTTTACATGTAGATATCTTTTTTTTTTTTGTACAAATAAAGATCTTCAGTGCCACCTGCTGGTTAAATATAAAATGCTAAATATTAATATGCAAGATTTATATGCAAGATACTCCAGTAATATTGCTAAATATCAGATTATCAATACTTACTAGGAAACATGATAACTTTTGTTTTTTTTCTACCTAATTGCTATAGATCCCATTCAGCTGCACCGGGACCGCTTATATGCCTGGTTTACTTGTTTGCCAAGTGAGGAACGACACTTTGGGCCTTCTTTTGCTCTGAATTCTATTCACGTAGATCCAGTTATTCGTGAAAGCTCCATAGAAGACATCATGCGTCCTCTGTCTGAATCGACTTTCCAGACTCCGCAGCAGAGCCTACAGTGTCCTCGCAGTATATCTGTATCTCAGTTGTTCCAAGCTGATTCCTCTGGAAACCCTGTACGAACTGTAGTTCTGTATGGCACAGTTGGTACTGGAAAAAGCACCCTCATTCGAAAACTTGTATTGGATTGGTGCAATAAACGCGGGGCTGATTTCCAGCTGATTATTCCGCTCTCTTGTGAAGATCTGTCTCAGGTCTCTGCCTCTGTGTCACTGACACGACTAATTGGCAGAAAATATCTTCATCTACGAGATCTGCTACCCACATTGTCAAATAATCCCAATATACTCTTCATTCTCAATAGCCTAGAGTGGATGAACCTAGATTTCAGGATGGCAAACACTGAGCTGTGCAGTGATCCAAATGAAGCCATGCCTCCTCCAGCTATCCTTGTGAACCTTCTGAGGGGATACATGCTTCCTGAGGTGAGACTGAGGCAAAATATGGTTTGTTTAGTAAATGTCTATTCACAATTATGTGGCCAAGTATGAGGGAAACATTTAAAAGGTAGTCCACCCATGACATATGCCACATTTCAGTGGTCATGGATTTCTCTGATTTATTTTCTGTTTTTTTTATATCTCAAATTCCAAGAACAATGTCTAGGATTTTTTTGGCTTACAGACTAGGTTTCTGTTTTCGGTTTCCTGCTTTTATGTTAACACGGGTGGACAAATTAGTAAGGAATTGGGGAGCCAATTTGTCCAGTCCACGAGCCAGCAGTTTTTTGTTAGGAGCCAGCTCCGTGATAACTAGAGAAATCCTCAGAAGCTAGCCGCAAGCTTTGAGGAGCTTACCTGGCTCCTGGGATTTGTCCTGCCCTGTTTTTTTTGTTCATTTAATGATTACATAGACATACTCTTTGCCACACTTTTATAATAATTTGCATTTATGTTTACAATTATTGCAATGCACATTTTGATGGTTAGAACTTTTTGTAAATCTTGTTTATGTACCAGCATAATGGTACAATACAGTAACATTGTTCCATGATATTCCTTTAGATGTTATATGTTGCATTGTAATACATCATATTTTAAATGCTGCATTTCTGGAGTTGCCAGGTTTGCTATTGGGTTTCTGTAATGATTCAGTTAAAGGAAGTGATGGTGAGTGGTCTTGATGAGGAACCTTAATGGTTCCAAATGTATAATGTGTTCCATGGGAGTAGACCTGTGACATAAAGTTGGCATATACCAAGGCATGTTGCTGATGTCTTTTGTATCTTTGCTTTGACATTGAGAAGTGTCTGTCTTGCACCAGGGGGTTTGTGATGTTTATTTTCAAATCACATAAGAATATGACCATATCTTTGTGATAAAAGATAAAGAACCCATTAACGTATAACAATGTGTCAAGTTTGGTTAAAAATTTAGTTATTCCTTAATATTGTCCTATGGCATTCCTCTATGTGCCTTGTTACCGGCATCAGAAAGTGCCATTCCATGGCAGTCAACTAGTGGAACAGCAGAGCATGTACATGAATGGTTAATTGTGCCGCAGATGTCTTTGATTCTATCCCTGAGACAGATCATCTTGTGGTTGATCACGAGGCAGCAAAGTTCTTGAGGCATGCTTGCCTTCAGAAAGCACGTGTGCCTTTCACCAGCTGAGAGGCTATAGTAAGAGGTGTTTATTTTTGTGGGAGTTTCATTGCGGAACCTTTTTAATTGCAGTTTACGCATTTGTTAATGACACTAGTCTCAGTCCTTTTACTTTGTATAAAGGAAATGCTTTGAATCATTTTACTAGGATGTTCCCATTCACACCACATCCAGATCATCTCCAGACCAGACCACATTGTTTCCAGACCCAATATGCATTCTAATGTATCCCTACACTATTTCTGGCATATTTCTGGTTCACACCAGCGCAGTCCATTCCAGACCAGAAAGATACTGCATGTCTTATTTTTTCTGGTCTGGAATGCACTGGAACTGCGGGCAGGTTCACACCATTTTCAGATCTGGTGAACCTAGCCTAAGGCTGGGGGGGGAAAGTAAGCGCATTAAATCACCAGTTGTCTAGAGTTTTATAGATGTAATTATCTTCCTTAAATGTTTGAGACCATGTAAAGTAAGTCGTTTCTTTTTTTTTCCTAAATGTGTTTCTTTTTAAGCAAAATTAGATAATTGTAACAGTAAATGCTTCTTTTTCTTCTAGGCAAAACTCCTGGTCACCACCCGTCCTTCTGCTGTTAATAGAATTCCCAGAAAGTATGTGGGACGGTATGTACAGATTTGTGGCTTTTCTGACATGGAGCTACAGAAGATGTATTTCCAAGTGCGCCTAGGCCATAAAGGTGCAGATCCTCGGGAGACAGAAAATCTGGCAGAGATGCTAAGTCGCAATTTAGAACATCATGGCCAGTTGTCTGCAGCATGTTTCTTGCCCTCCTATTGCTGGCTAACCTGTGCAACATTACACTTACTGTACTATACCAAACCAGATGACCCCCCTATGACGTTGACTGGAATTTATACAGCTTTCCTGCGACTTAATTTTGCTGGAGAAGTGCTGGACATAACACATCCCTCTAAGATATCTCTAATGCGTTATGTAGCACGCACTGTAGGTAAATTGGCATATGAAGGCTGTCTGTCACGTCGCACACGTTTCACCGAAGATGATGTTACAAAGTGTTTTCACGTGGAAATGAACAGCGAGGAGGAGCTTAATCTTCTAAATGTCTTCCGGTCTGATGCCTTCCGCTTCTTTCTGACACCCTGCGTCAAGCCGGGCCAAGAGACCTTGTTTGTCTTTACAATACCTGCTATGCAGGAGTACCTTGCTGCACTGTATGTTGTATTGGGAGAAAACAAGACTGCTTTGCAGCGTCTGGGAAAAGAAGTTACTGAGATCATCAGTAAAGCTGGAGAAGATGTGGTTGCAGTAGTCAATGTGTTGTCAAAGTTTCTTCCTCTACGCATCTTCGCTCTTTTTAATCTGTTGCGTGTAGTTCCTCGGCTCTTTGGAAAGGTTACTGGGCAGAGTCGTGATAACATAGCTCACACTATGACTGTAGAAATGTTCAGGGAGGAAGACTCTTATAACGATGATGTTTTAGACCAAATAAACTCCAGCATCCTTGGTAGGGAGGGACCTTCTCAGCTAGCAGAGGAAGATGATGATGAAGCATTTGAGTTATTCCCTATATTTATGGGAGGGCTTTTGTCACGCCAAAATCGCGCTATGTTGGACCAACTTGGCTGTTCAATAATGAACATGGCAGCATTCGAAATCACAAAGGCTTTGAAAAAGCATCTGCTGCGCTGGAGTCTTCGGAAGTTGCCACCTTCTGAGCTCATGGACTTTTTGTTCTTTTTATATGAGTTTCAGAATGAAGGATTCACAGCTGGCTTGGTCAGTTCAGTACAAGAACTGGATCTCTCATCTGTCCGCATGACGCCCCTCAAGTGTACTGTTGTGGCTGCGGTAATGGGAGATAACCGGAAATCTGTTTCGAAAATCAACCTCTATAACTGCCATCTAGATCCTGATGCCATCCATACTTTATCTCACTTGCTGAGAAGATGCCAGGATGTGAAGTGAGGAAATAATCTTTACATTAAGTGACAATATTAGATGGCATGAAAATGAAGCCAATTAAGGGTTGTGTGTTTATAAAAGTGAAGAGCTTAGGTATGACATTTACAGTCCATTTATGTTCCCATTGTTAGATGTGTGCTCTATTTATGTGACCATTGCACTGAATGTTCATGGCCCTCCACTTTCCTTCATTGGATTTCAATTTTTTAAATCATGGAGACTTCACATAACATGTGAAAGTACTTAGGATGGTCTGCATGCAAATAGAGCCTGTTTAGGAACACCCAGTCCTCCAGACTGACATTCACCTATCAAAACATTTTGATATTTGCATAACTCCTCCCACGATCCAGCCCACGGCTTGCATCAGGAGCACAGAGGCAGGGTTCTGTAATGTTTTCAGGAAGTTATGTACAGCAACACGCCGGCCTCTCCTGCCAGCTTATAATAAGTCGTTTTTTTAAATTAAACCTGTGTACCATAAAAAAATTATAAAATGGTTATATTACACTTTTTACTTATGCTAGAGCTTAATCCGTTAATAGACACCCTGTCACTGGGAGAAAGGGAGCAAACTGCTGCAGTTATGAAGTGTAAGCGCATAGAGGTGCACATACCTGCATAAGCCTCACAATCCTTCCTGACATGGCTAAATCTCAGGCTGTTTGACAGGTAACGCATCTGCACTGCTTTCAATGGTAAGGTTCAGTTTGAATTGCTTTATATAGCCATGCAGTTTGGTTGCTCTCTAGGAATGTAGGTGCCTAAAGGATATTTATCTCTGTTATGAGCACCAGTGATTATGTTAAAATGGATTTTCTATTTTGTATAAACATTTGCCCATTCTCGTATTCAAATCTTGGCAGCTAAAAGTGGAAGGTGCTGAATCCTGTAGAATTTAGGTTTTTATGTTATCATTAACCAAGTCCCCAACACCATCTGTTTTATAGTATTTTTGTATCTATATAGACTCCCTGAGCATGAGTATAATAGACCTGCCCCCCACTCCAGTTACATATAAATTGCATTGTAGTTTGACATGATCTTGTGGGCGACCTTAGAACATGTCATACTGCTGGGATAGTGGAGATCAGGAGATAATCTGCAGCAGAGGGGATTATTTAGGCAACAGACTTGATAACTATAAGTAATAGGCTCATGATGCCTAATTTATTGTATGTCATAAAATATTAGTTTGATTTAAATACTATTCTGGTAGTTTTGGGATATTACACACACAGATTAATACGAAAGAAAGGGTCGGCGCACAATTGACAGTTTGGTCTCTGTAAAGCAGACCTCCATTGTCAGGTTCTTTAGCTGGCACATTAAGGAATGGTGCTGGTAATAAATCTTTGTGGTAGTGACAGAGTTATTTTATTGACAGGTAGAGCACGAATCAACCATGCCACGCTTTTCCTGTGTCTATTTAAAATCTGTTGTAAGCTGGCAGTACTTTTTGTTAAATAATTCACAATCAGTATAGTGCTCTCCTGATTGCAAAGTTTGTATGAAAATCTCATCTCATTTTAGTTTGCAGATGAATTCACTAGGACCAAATTCCTGCCGAGAAATAAAAGACATTTTGCTCCACCCAGACTGTGCTATTACCAACTTACGGTAAGATTACTGGACCTAATTTGCCCCTTATAGTATGCTGTGCTGTAGCTTTTAAGATGGTTTGTTAGTTGATGTCACAGTTTAATAAAATAGTCTAGACAGTTCTAATTAGAACCTGTGTTCGCTTCAAGCAGGTTTTGCTTTCCTACACAAGTCTATGGGAGTGCAAAACCTGCTTGAAGCAGGTCAGAAGGAGGTCAAATACACCTGTCAATGAATCCTGAATGATCTCAGAAGCATCTCAAACTAATGGGAAACTGATGCCATCAACCCATGCCTAAAGCATGTTATCACAGACAGGTAAAATGTAGTTTCTGCAAAGATAAAATGACTCTCTCTGTAATGTCTTGCCGTCTGAACAGTTAATGATTTAGTTATAAGCCAGTGGACCTTGCAACAGTTGGAGGGGAACAGTATTATTTTTTTTAATTAAAGATTTCAGTGGCCAAAATTCACAAATGTAGGTATTACATAATTTAATACTCTTAATATGTGTGCTTTAAATTGCTTTCTGCTAAAACCCAACTCCATAAAAAATATTCCATAGCAGTACTCACTCTTTCCATGCATGAGCTCTCCACTCCTTGTCCCCCTCTGGTCCCTGCCACTGCTCCTCTTCCGTGTTGAATCAAACTGGGCATCTGGAGAATCATATCAGTGTGCTGAGAACAGCGCCCTCTCTGTAGATTGAGGACCTCCCATTGCCGCTGCAGGAAGGAGAGAACAAGACCCTCTCCTCCCCAAGAGAGCATGAAAACAGCTCTAAAATAAGGAATAAAAAATGTTTAAGAAATGAATGGTGGGGGGTGTTGTTCCAAGGGGGGTACTCTAGTGAGGGAAAGAAGTCTGGCTAACTTGGATAATCACTTTATATGTAGTTACAAAAGTAGGTGTAGGGGGGAGAAGCTGAACTGGTGTTGGCAGCAGTAAAACATATTTGAGACAGGTACACCCAGAAAAGGTTCAGGCAGGTTTGTCCTGCACTTTCTTTCAGCAGCAAACAAAGTTCAGTAAAGGAGGGCTTTGTATCCATATCATTTGCCCATATTATAAAACAGTCAAAGCATCAGTTTGCCTGAGATGCTGACTAACCTTATGTCAGTTCCTGGCTAACAGGGTACCCCATAATGGGTTGCCCAAAACACACAGGTGGCAATTGTACCCTCTCTTAGTAGTCTGTTAGTAGTTAGTAGTCAGCCTTTTCACCCAGCAGCAGGATCTCACAGCAGCCAGAGAAAGGGAGAGAGAACCTCTAGCATAAGTTAGCTCAGATATATAAAGGCCTTTGCACTGCTAACTAAAAAGTGGCTAAACATGGGCCTACGACTGGAGACTTTATTCCACCCAAAGTTCTCCAAAGCCTCCAGGCTCACCTCAGAACCCAGACCACATCTTATTAAGATCTGAGAATACGAAAAGTTTATTTTGTCCAATAACAGACACAAATATTGGAGCATCTCACCATGTGTATATAAGAAACCTAGATGACATGTATACATCGTTCACAACCCTGCCAGACAGTGCCTCACACAGGATATTAAAAAACGAAGCACTTAAATTATCTCATTATAACCAAACAACTATTTCCATCTAAAATGTGACTCTAGTACATGTCACTTTCACAAACTATTTGTCTGTGACCACCATTCTATTTTACAGCATGATGGTTGTGATCAATGATATGACACATCTATGATGTACTGAGGGAAAAAAGTGACTGCCCACAGGAATAAAGATCACATTTCTCCACTTCTTAATTACAGAAGACCATAATGAAATGCTTGTGAATTTAGATTTTCTAAAGTATAAAACAGCATGTAGTGGTTACTTTCTTTACTGCAGTGAAATATTGTCAAACCTTTCTCTTGGAAAGGAAAAAAACTTTTATAACTTACTGTACAGTGTACTATGTAAGGTGGAAATGTTTCTCTTACTCATTTATTACTTGTATGCTTTACACACTGCGCATGTGCGTTTGATATTGTTTTGAGGATTGATTGTATGGTGTCTTTTTTCACCTAGATTGTGTAATAACCCTTTGACAGCAGAAGGAGTGGGATTTATTATGGAGGGCCTTGCATCTAACAGTTCATTAAAGCACTTATCACTCCTCCACACGGACCTTGGCGACAAGGGGGGCGAGATTTTGGCAGATCATTTAGGAAGAAATAAATACCTTGAGGAATTAAATCTGGCATACAATGGGATCCATGACCAGGCGGCTTTCAGACTTGTTGAAGAGGCTGCAATCCACCCAACGCTTAACAGAGTGCAGTGAGTACATCCTAATAATGTATTTATTTTGAATGTTAGCTTGTAGAATTCATAAACAGAGGTATTCATAGGTCTCTTGTAACATACTTAGTTTACTAGGGTGAAAGAGATGTATGTCTGTCATGTTCAACCTCTGATATACTCCACCAGTTTTGGAAGGCAACACAAGCCCGCTTCCCCTCCAAAACACATATGCACACAAATACCCACATTCCCCACACATACACACACATTTGGATATGTTGTACATAAATATTTTTTACTTTCTTTCAGTAATTTGTACCACAATACTGTCATTTTTTCAGTTTTGCAGAAGGAGAGATGAGTATAAGGAGTTTAGTTTCACTTTATATTGTATGTCTTGCCAATACGTTTTATTTAGTTTTGGATAGAGCAGGGAAGGGTAAAAACCCCGGACAGTTTATTTTTGTGGTCTCTCTCCTGTTGGAAAGACTCCCCTTCACATCCTGTCCCATAGGCGCAACGGGAAGTGAGAGGAAATTTCTACAAAGAGGAAATCCCTGTGATACATTGTCACTGTTAGTTCCTGAAACAGGTAACCCCATTGGAAGATTTACACTCAATTTCTGTTCTTGTGTCCTGCAACTTTTCTGATTTCCCATCACATTCTGTTCAATGCTCACCAGACAAAAGCGAGGGTGAATAAGACAGTTTATTCCTGTCACTGTGCTTCTTGCCTGATGAAGGGACCATGCTAGGTTCCGAAACGTTGCTTTGTACTTGTGATGCCATGTGTATCTGACGTCAATAAAAGGACGGATTGATTGCATTGGACATAGGTGTGCAAGTGACTACTAATTCTACATAGGTGAATAAGACAGGACACAGACAGCAACAGGGGTTCTAATCCTTACATACTTTATGCAAAACTAATAACAATAATAGGCAGTATACTTTAGCCTACATTACTACTACTAACCCCATTTTATACTAATTGTGTTTCTGCATACACAGCTGATGTTCTGGTATTCTGTGCACAATCCATAGGATAAAAAGTTTAATGCACCTTGTCTTGAATGAATGTGGATATTTTATACATATTAATTAGTTCACTGGTAAGGTGAAAGTGTTTTGCATTTAAGAAACTCCATTTATTCCAAAGTTGAGTGTTAAAAACAAATGACATTTCAGACAATGTGGCAGTTGATGGCATTTTCAAATGTTCTGCTGGGAATTTTGGTATGTTGCATCGAGCTGCATTGTGCCTTTGTGCCTTTTTATGTGCCTAGAGTTCAGCTTTAAATAGAAAATGCAAAATGTCATGTATATGTGGTTTTACTCTATACCTGGAATCTAGCTTTACTTTAAAGATGTATGTTAAATGTGTGGTACTTCTTTTTTTTTTCTCCTGTAGTCTCTATTTTAATGAACTGTCAGATGATGGTCTCCGTGCCCTGAAGCCTGTTGGGGTGAAGGTCCTTGTGTCTCTTACTGACGGAGCAGATGCATCACGCCACTGGCATCTCATTTTAAGAGAGCTGCGGGCCAATGTTGGAGGTTGGGATCATGCACGCATTAGTGCTCACCTCACTCTGCTCTTGCGGGATCTGCAGCAAAGCCGAGCACTAACTAGAAATCTATGGCGCAAGGCACGAATTTTTCGTGTAGAGACTGAGGTGAAACGTATGCTAGGCAGAATTCAGCAGGGAACTCTCTGAAAACATTTTGATCACAAATGCACTTTGTTGTCTTGCAGTATGGTTTGCTTCTGGTATTGATCATACAGTTAAAGGTCACGTCCAAGAAAAGGTATACATATGTACAAGGGTGTGTGTGCTGCATGTGTACAATATCTGTCAACTGTGTTTATTGCTTCATGATATATAAGTAATAGAATATTTATGACTTACTGCACTTATACCCCTAATACTTTGTGCATACAAGGGGAGTGGTGGCTATTGGCACATTTTTTAAATGGTTTAGGAAAAATATTTTAAGCGCTAAGTGTTGTTCAATCACTTGTTAAAGCTACGGTTACATTTTTTAAAAATAAAAAGGTTATTTTTTCTCATTATGTCTCATTTTTTTAAATAAAAAAAGATTATGCATTTTTTTCTCATTAAAAATGTTTTCTATTTTTACTTTCTAAAGGCGGGCTTGAAATTTAAAGTACGTCTGTGCCCTGACCATGGACGTTAAAGCATTTAGATATTCTTAACAAACTGTAAAAGTGCTTTAAAAGAAGCCATCCCTGACTTCTCTAGCTGAAAAATATCATGAAATGAGTTTGGAAATTCTTGAGAATTGCTTAAATAATGCATTACACAAAAAATAAACCCATTAGATTTTAGTCGACTAAAATCGACCTGGTATTTTCGTTGACTAAAACAAAAATTATTCAGATGGCTAAAATAGGACTAAAAATAAATTTTTCGTCAAAAGACTAACACTAAAATGAAATTTGCTATCAAAATAACACTGCCTTACTCAAGCTGTCTCCAACTTGTCACCTGCAGGCTTCTATGGTGCTCTCTCAATGCTTCCTGGACAGAAACTTGAAGGATAAAGGCACTTTAAAATAAAGTCCATTTCTTCTTTTTGTCCCCCACCCCTGACT